ACCGTGGTAAAACACCCTTTGATTCCTCCAATCGAAACGCGATACATCAGACTGATACCCACAGCATGGAATCACCACATCTCCATGAGGATGGAACTCTACGGATGTTTTGGTAATTAACCCTTGCTTTAATCTTCAACGTGGAGACGCGGTAGCCTCAAGGGTAGGGCGCTCGATTCCGGATCGAGTGGTCCGAGTTCACGTCCTGGCGGAGGACACTGTGTTGTGTCCTTAAGCAAGACACTTTACTCTCACATCGTCTCTCTTCACCCTGATGTATCAATGGGTATCGTCGAATTTAATGTGGAGGATAACCCAACGAGGGACTAGCATTCCATCCAGGTTGGAAATTGCAGGTAGTAGTTTTCAACATTGTATGGGGGGTGGGGGGTGGGGGAGAGGGTAGAAATATTCCAAGGTCACCTCATGCTACAGAAACTGGGATAAGCTCCGGGCAGATGGGCCTATTTGTTCGTATGCAGACTTTACATTTAAGTTAATACTCAGCAATGTGCAGCTCTAATTTCTGTACACTTCTCAGGATACAAGTGTCAAAATGTATGCCTTCGACTTTATTTATCGTATAGTCAATGTGTTGTGTTTTGTCTAAACGTAAGTTGTAGCCGCGGCCGCCATCCAGAATTCTAGAGTTAAGTATTAGGATGGGCCAAAACGACTTAGAACGATTTTCAATTGAGTGTCGAAAACCAAATCCACTACCTACTGATTAGACTACTCAGCTAATCTCAAACCGTAAAACCAAAACCAAAACCAAAACCAAAGTAATTGCCTGATTACTTTCGAAACTCAACAGAAAACCGCTCTAAGTGTGGTCTTTATGTTTATTAGCTACGAACAAAGATTTTATCGAATCTCTCCGGGAGGACAGCACAGTTTTAACTGCTGTTCGTACTTCAGTCGAAGCCAACGGATGTAGGGAACAGCTTGCTAAGTTCGACATCTATTATCAGTTAACCTTATTCAGACCGGGCGTGGAGTCGGAAAGCTTCCCTGCCGACTTAGACAGCCCGTATAATATCTAGAGAGGTAGATTTCGAGTACCTTTCAATCGCTATCCAGCTACTCCTCCAGTTATGATGCATGTAGCTAGGAGACTGCTGTACACTATTGCTCATAAAGTGAGCCTTTTGATTGTTTTTTTACATTATTTAAATTTACATTTGGATTCTTGCAAAGTCATCCAGTGACAGGAGTAAATAAGCAAAATTTAAATACAAAAATAAATAACGGAAGCTCATATAAAATGGAATAAAATTACAACAAATTTAAGTGGTCAGAGATGATGCCTTAGATTTTATGGAATAATTTATCCACAAGTAACCAAGTAGAAGACTGTTCCAGTCAAATCATAGTTCAATCATTCTTGTAAACAGTGAGGAGAGCACTTTTGTGTGAAAGTGACGAAATATGATTGCATGAAAGATCATCACAAAAACATGAAAAAAGTCTGAAAAAAAATTCAGAACCGAATCGAATTCCAACCATTACCGCTGTGATGCTGGCAAATGCTCTATGAACTGAGTTTCGTCTTAATTCAGTTGTCTGGCACAAAAGTTAGTCTAAACAAAAACATTATAACAATTCCCCTAACACGTTTAAAATTTAAATTACTTTCGTGGCGTGGTTATAATTGTTCGGATGTAAGAACTGAAGCTTTTTTATTTCTGAGGCTCCCCTTAGTTGAAGTCCC